GAATTATATCCCCTAAAAAGATACGCTGACTTTCTCACCTCCTGTGCCTCTGAATGTGACCTCATTTGGAAATAGGGTCTTTGCAGACATAATCAAGTTAAGATGAGGTTATTAGGGTGGCCCTAATCCGATATGATTGGTGTCCTTATAAGGAGAGGAGAAGAGACACAGACACACAGCAAGAATGCCATGTGACAATGGAGGCAGAGATTGGAGTGATGGATCTACAAGCCAAGAAGGAATGCTGGCAACACCAGAAGCTTAGAGAAAAGCATGGAAGAGATTCTCACCTAGAGCCTTCAGAGAGAGCATGACCTTGAATCTCAATTTCTAGCCTCCAGATGGTGAGACAATAAATTTCTATTGTTTTAAATCACTCCAAAACCAAACCAAACCCACAGCTGATGAGTTGATTCTGACTCATAGCGACCCTACAGGGCAGAGCAGAGATGCCCCATAGGGCTTCCAAGGCTGTAAATCTTTACGGAAGCAGACTGTCACATCTTTCTTCCACTGCGCAGCTGATGGGTTTGGACTGCAGACCTCTCAGTTAGCAGCCAAGAGTTTTTAACCACTGCACCACCAGGACTCTCTTTAAATCATCCAGCATGTGGTAATTTCCTACAATAGCTAGGGAACTGATACCCTAATCTCACCTGCACGCAGCTGACCACAGCAATCATTTTACTGCTTATATTTCCCTCTACACCTGTCAACCTTTCTCAACACTGGCTGCACATTATAATCACTCAGGGGAGCTTTTGAAAAAATACAGGTACCCGGCCCCCACTGCAGACCCAATGAATCAAAATCTTAAGAGCGTGGGCCCAGGCATTTATATTTCTTCAAAGTCACCCGGTACTGAGAACCACTGCTTTAGCCTAGACCTCGCTCCATGAGGTCAAAGACCATTGTATCTCTACCACTCAGTACAATATCCCACACATAAACCAAACCCGTTGCCGTCGAGTCAATTCTGACTTATAGTGACCCTACAGGACAGAGCAGAACTGCTCTGCAGGGTTTCCAAGGAGCAGCTGGTCGATTTGAACTGCTGACTTTTTGTTTAGCAGCCAAGCTCTTCACCACTGCACCACCAGGGTGGCACATAGAAGACGCTTAATAAATATTATTGGAAAGAATGAACAAATGAGCAAACTAAAGGCTCTGAGAAGGCCTGCAGTTGAAAAAATTAGCTTTGTTTAAATTCAGTGTTTCTCAAACTTATTTGACCATGAAATTTTTTTTTTTTTTTCACAGAAAGCCTATTAATATCTTGCAGAACACCTGTAAAACAGCAGGAGCAACGCCAGTCTGGAGAAATCTCAGGGCTGTTTCTTTCGGCTTTGAAAACTTGACCTAGGGGTGAGTTATCATAAACGTGGTACAAGGTAGGGTACTTGCTGAAGACAGCTACTCATTCCCCAGATGCCCTGTCCCTGCTGGCTTTTGGAGCCTGGAAATGTGTGCTCCAACTCCCTTGGGTTCTGGATAATAATAATAATAGGATTAATAGTGACAACAAGAACCAACACCATGGCTATGATCCTCAAGGGTCCTTGAGCTTTTTCTGCACTTCAAGAAGCAGATCAGAAAGCAGGAATCCTGGCAGGTGCCCACTTTGGCCCATGTGGGGACCATCCTCTCTCACTCGCCGCCCCATGGGGTCCGAGAAAGTCCTTCTACCCACCTTTAGCTTGCCAGCACTCTGAGTTCACTGGGCTCAGGGGGCCTTGGGTATTCCCAGGGGACAGTCTGCCCACCAAGGGGCTTTTTATAGCTGGCCTCTCTTCCCTGGGCCTCTGCCCAGCATGCAGCTGAGATTTCAGCCTAACCAAGAAAGAGTATTCCTTCGGGGCAGAGGCTGTGCTTCCAATTTAACCATTTAAGGGCAGGAGCTTGCGGCAGCCCAGAAGACAGCAAGGTGGAACTGTAGACAAAATGTGGCTGGCTCAAAGCACAGACTTTGCGGGGGCAAACAGACCGGGCCCGAATCTCAGCCCTGCCATTTCCTGGCTGTGTGACTTTAGGTAATATGCTTCCGCTGGGTGATTCTGGGTTGCCCCCCTCACCATATGAAGCCCAGTGCTCCCTAATGGAAGCAAACCATGGAGGAGCCTACCTTTCAGGTGGAATGTTATCCGTGTTGCTGCTGTGGCGCCTCTGCATTTTCCTTAACACCTGAAACCCAACACAGGGAGTGAGCCTGTTTCCAATTGCTCCCATTGCCTGTCAGTTTGCTATGGTAACCATAGAGCAGTAATAATCATACTTTACCTTTCCATAGCTCATATACATTTTCAAAACCATGTTTTGGTTTTTTAAGCCATTCAACCCTGAATTCAACATTCAATCCTATGAGCAAGGAGTTATCAGCCCATTTCACAGGTGAGGATGATGAGGCCCAGAGAGGGGCCTGAAGGGAAGGTGAAAGGAGAAAGGAGTGAATCAGGCAGTAGTCAAAGAAGGGGCTGGAGGCGGTGAAGTGAGCACCAACTGGGAGTCAAGAGACATGGATTTGGGACGGATGCTGCCCTGAACTTGCTGTGTGCCCCAGAACAAATCAGTAGCCTCTCTGGGCCCTTGGATTCTCCATCTGTTAAATAGGACAGGGTGGAGTGGCTGACCCCAAAGCTTCCTTCCCTCTTCGTATTTAATAAAGTGGTAATGGAGATGTGAGTTCTAATGGAGACATGTCACCTGGTTCACTGTGAGGAGCCACATTGACTTCAGAACTCCATGGTGAGGACAGCTAGGGTGGGCATTCAGGGCTCCTGGTGGGGATGTGATCACAGGATCCCAGAGAAAGCAGGCCTCCACCTCCTCTTCCTCTCCAGAGAGATGCACAGGTCAGGGGAGCTTGCAAGACTGCAGACCCTGGATGGGACAGAACACCTGGGTGAATAGTCCGTGGGATACCTTGAGGATACCAATACTCATAAGTCTTGGAAAATCATGAGTAGCTACAAGCAGATCATTCCTTCTGCTCAACGTATCTCCTTAGCCTCTCATTGGCCTCTCTGTGGGCTCTCGAGGACAGTCATGATCTTAATGAATTTTGTCCTATTGTCAAACTATGAGTCCTGACTCGGGAATACACAAAACATGCTTTAGAGCCTCCAATGGCTTCTCAATGAGATAAGAATAAAATCCAAGCTCACATTAAAATCCATGACTACAAGTTGTGCCTGATGTAGCCTCACTTACGTTCCCAATCTCATTTATCTCCTTCTGCCAGTCCCCCCACCTAGCTACACTGGCTTTTCTGTTCCTCTAACATGCCAGCTTGTTCCTGCTTCAGGGCCTTTGTACTTGCTGTTCCCACTCCCTGGAATGCCTTTTCCTCTGAATGTTGCATGGCTACCTCCCTCAGGTCGAATGTCCTCCCAGTGTCCTCTCACCTCATGACCCTTCACAAAATTGCCCTGCTTTGTGACTTATTTACCCACTTGCTTATTTGTTTATGATCTGTCCCCCATTAGAATGTAAATGCTATAAGAGCAGGGATCCTGTCTGCCTCGTGGGCCCCTCACCCTCAGCATCTAGAACAGTCTGGCACAGAGTAGCACGCAGCAAGTATTTATTGAATGAATACACCTATAGGTTTCCCAGTTATCCTTTCCTAGATTCTTATTCTCTCTCCCGTTTCACCATAGGGGACCAAAAAAGGCCATATATTTTCCACGTATAAGTTAGCTTCTTTGAATATTTTTGTGTACCAGAACCAAAGATGGTATCTGATCCCTAGTTCAGGGCACCATTAAAAAACACCCACTGCCTTGAGCCAATTCCGACTCATAGCTACCCTATGAGACAGAGTAGAACTGCCCTACAGGTTTCCAAGGCTGTAATCTTTAAGGAAGCAGATTGCCACATCTTTCTCCTGTGGAGCAGCTGGCGGGTTCCAACATCCGACCTTCTGGTTAGCAGCCGAGCACTTAACCACTGTGCCACCAGGGCACCTTTCAGGGCACCATTATTGGCTGTTTAATCCTAATCTTCATCAGCGTTTTTGAGGGAGCAGCACCAGTTAAGCCTCTCCTCTTCTAGAAAACTGGCTGAGAAATGGGTCATTATATAAGTATTTTTCAAGAGCTTGCAAATCTCAGCTGAATGCTCACCCCAGCCCCAAATATTCCCCATCACTTGCAAATCCTTGGGGGGAAAAATACAATGGTTCAAGGTTCCATCCATAAATCCGACAGAGCCTCCTATATCAAATGCCCAAGCTTCTACTTTCAGATGCTAGCTTTCGAAGAGCTTTCAGATTCTCCGTTGGAAGCAGGCCGTATATAATTATTCCAATATCGAATTGTGGAATATATTTTTTGCACGTGGGATGCATCTGAATGACTGAATGAAACGCCTTTTAACCGTCTGCTCCATAAATCGCACCTCATCCCTATGAAGGATTACACCAGGACTTTTATGCATGCGATGTTTTAAGTTGCGTCCCCGGGCCGTTACAAGTCTGCACCCAAACACATGCAAGGGAACGACTGCTGCATTACTTGCATCGGAAGCACGCAGGTGCACGTCGGATACAACGCCGCGGGCGTTTACCATTCCTGCTACCAAAGCATAGCGCAGAACGCTCTAGAACTGCAAGGACAGGAGCTTATACCGACCGTCCAGGGGAAAAAAAAAAAAAAAACGGTTATCTTTTTACCTGCCCAGACAATTCAGCAATCACCGCAGCATCATTCACGTCTAGTCAAGCCAATCACTCGCGCGCTGTGGGAAGCACGTGACTTCTGAGTGCTTCCGGCCTCCAGTTTGGCTCTTTCTCAGGATTGCCGAGGGCCTGAGATAGAACCTCGGCACAGCCACTCCGGCCCCACGGACACGATTGCCCGCCCCCTTTCCCGGGCTGCAGCCAATAGGAGGCCCTTACTTCGGAGGGACCAATGGCTGAGTGGGGCTGGAGCGTGACGCGCAGAGGGGAGGCGGGGCGTGGAGCGAGGTCACGTGACGCGGCGCGCTCCGGCGCGGGGAGGCTGCCGGGAGTTGGTGGGTCGGGGCTATTGGGCTGGCTACCACCTGACGGAATGGAGCTGCCGGGCACTTAGGGGCCATGTCGCCCGGTCCCCGGGCCTGCCGCGCTTCACGCCCCGGCCGCCGCTCCCCGCGTCCGCGCCGGGATGGTGAACGTGGCGGCCATGGTGTGGCGCCGGGTGCTGAGGAAGAGATGGGTGCTCGCCCTGGTCTTCGGGCTCTCGCTCGTCTACTTCCTCACCAGCACCTTCAAGCAGGTTAGTGTCCACCCTCCTTCCAGCTCTTGCTCCGGCCGCCTTGGGGAGCCCTCCCAGCCGCCCCCGAAGCGAGAGAAGCTGCCAGAGAGGTGGGAAGTCCTGTCCCGGCTCCGGCTCCACAGACGGGCGAAGGGACCTGCGGGTTTCGTAGATGCTTGGGACGAGAAGGCGTGAATTACGCCACGGGCAGGGCTGAGACTCGAACCCGGTACCATGGACTGTCTAGGTTGTTATCCCTCTTCTAGGTGCCAGCGGGCATTCCACCCCCAGGCCCTGTGCTAAGAACCCTGTATGCATTTTCTCACTTAAACCTTGCAGCAGTTCTGGAAGATGGGGGGCTTCGAATTACAGCGGGGATACCATTCCTCGGAGAGTTGGAGATGACTAGTGCCAGTAAGTGTCTGAGCCGCGAAACCAGCATAGGCGGGGCTGCCGTTTGTTTATTTTGGGGCTCTGCGGTTCCACCTGGGTGACTCAACAGGACCTATGAGGTGCCCTTTCTGTGGGTAAACTGGTTGAGTGGAATTTTTTTATCCCCTTTTTCCTCCTGAGCTTTTCTTCCCTGTGGCAGTTTCTGTGAGAAATGGCAAGGTGCCTTGGTGGGAAATGTTACCCAATAATTAATGTTTGTTTAGAAGTCCAACTTGAGCGTTTGAGTTTTTATAAAGGGACAGCCCTGGTGTATGCTGTTATCCTAATGTAATTATTGAACTTAGCCCTTGTCACTCCCAAGGGTCGTTTGCAAGTAAAATGTATAAAAGAATAGAAAATAAATAAGCGATATGAACACCCTTAGGTCAACGGGCTGAGTGTTGTAAGCCTGTTTTATTCGCTGGGATATATGGGTGAAGTTCACACGAACTACTGTGTTTCTGTGACTTGTGTTTTTTGCTACACCACAGATGCTTTCTTGTAGTCATGTGTTGCCTTTTCTCTCATGGACCTCTGAGTTTTGAATGCTCCAGGATTCAGTCTTCTGCCTTCTTCTCTACCTGACCCAGGTGATTTCCTCTGGCCCGATTGTTTAAACACCAGCTGTATGCTGTTAATATTCTGGTTTGTAACCCCAGCCTAGACCTGTCCAGAAAACCCCAAATTCTTATGCCCGTTTACCTGCTTGATGTCTCTTTTTCAATGTGTTGTAGGCTTCTCAAACTGGGCCAAAACAGAAGTCTTGATTTTCCTCCGCCTACCCTCTGCCAACACTTGTTCCTCCCCCAGCTTCCCAGTCTCACTGAGTGATGTTACTGTTCACCAGTTTGTTCAAGCTGTAAATACTTCATTCTTCTCTTAATCTCATTCCGTATGTCCAAACCATGGCTCTGCCTCCTCAGTGTATCCTGAATCTGTTCATCTCTCCTCAGAGTCCAGCTGCCATCATCATCTAAACCACTGTCATCTCCTATCTGGACCACAGTAGTAGCCTACCACCAGGTCTCTGCTTCCTGTTTTGACCTACAATCTATTCTCTACCCAGCAATGGGGATGATAATCTTTTTCAAAAATCCAAACACAACATTCCCCTGAGCATACCTTCCTTAGGTTCCTATTGTGCTCAGATTAAAATTCAGACTTCATTCTAAGATTTCTGCGTGGTTGAATCTTTTTGTCATTTCAGGTCAGGCTAACCGTTACAGCCTCAAGCTGCACCCGATGGCACCGTCAAATTACTTCAGTTCCTTGCTCATAGACCTGCTTTATTTATTTATTTTTGGTGGTAGGAATCACTAACTGAACATTTCTTGTTCACTTGTTGTTCTGTCTCTCCTCACTCTCCTTTTTAGAATGAAATTTTCTTGAGAATAGGGACCTTATGTGTCTTGTTCATAGAATCCCCAGCCCCTGGAATACTGCTAGGCACTTTACTGGCATTCAGATATCACTTGACTAAACAGTGAGTGTTCATCTTTCCAATTGGGATGGTTTTTCCTTTCTTCTCAGTCTGGCACACTGCTACTGATTTTTCATCTCATGGCTCAGATGTTGCCTACGCTCACCTTTCCCTATACCTGCTTTTTAAGCATTCCAGGGCACCTTGTTCCTTTTTTTTTTATTACAGTGTGTCTTTTTTTTTCTTATTTAACCGTGTGATCTAGGGAAAGGAAGATTTATGACTGAATCCTCTAAAACTGTTGGCAGATTTTTATTTTGTGTGTTTCTCTGCTTTCTCATTCCCCCAAGGCATAAGAAACACTGTTCTGTTTTGTCTTAACACATGGTATCACTGCAGTGATTATTTACTTCTGAAAAGTCAGCCACTGAAAACGCTATGGAGCAGAGGTCCATTCTGACACACATGGTATCTCCATGAGTCAGAATTGACTCAACAGCCACTGTTGTTTTTTGTTTTTTTTTTCTTTTATCATCATTGTGTCCAAAGGTCTTTCCCTTTCTGAGATGAGTGAACTCCACACAGAGGGGGCCTGCCCCTTTCATTTCTCTGTGCTCTGCACCCAGTGCTGAACCTGAAACAGTCAGCACCCACTACATTTTTACTAAATTGAAGAACTAGCCCCACCTCCTCTTTTTTTTCCTTCAAACTTAAGTGTGTTTCTCAGGTTCCATATGGTAGTTCTGAAAGGAAGCCCTGACCTGCAAGCCCAGGGAGCATAGATAGAATGATAATGGCGGCTCATGTTTACTGAGCACTTGCTATGTTCCTTGTTCACCTTCTTATGTGTTAACTCTCTTAAACCTACACTAACCTTATAGCCTGTGACTGCTGCCAGTGACCCAGCTCTGCCACTCGATATCTCCAAGGTTAGGGGTGCCTCTGTTTTGAGGGAGTTGAAGTAGGTGACCTCTGATATCGTACGAAACGCCCATTCCCTCCCCTGCACTTTTTCTGAGAAAACTTCAGCCACATTTTTAGTGTCTAAAAATATCTGAAAGTAATACTTGCCCGTTATAAAATCAAACAGTAGAGATGTAAAAGAAAAAGTAATAATTGTCCCTCAGTTTTCTTTATTCCCACGCCCTTGAGATAACCATTGTTAACAGTTTGGTGTCTATTCTTTCACATCATCTCTGTGGTTATATAAACTTACATTTAAAAACCTTGGCCCACCTACAGATGCATGAGTGAGAAATGAATGCACATTATTTTATTCTGTCGAGTTTGGTGGTGTGTCTTAGTTGTCTAGTGCTGCTGTAACAGAAATACCACAAGTGGATGGCTTTAACAAAGAGAAGTTTATTCTCTCACAGTCCAGTAGGCTACAAGTCTGAATTTAGGGTGCTGGCTCCAGGGGAAGGCTTACCCTGTTGGCTCAGGAGGGATGCCCTTGTCGTCAGCCTTCCCATGATTTGGGAGTATCTCAGCGCAGGAACCTCAGGTCCAAAGGATGTGCTCTGCTCCCGGCACTGTTTTCTTGGTGATATGAGGTCCCCTTGTCTCTCTGCTCCCTTCTCTGTTTTATGCCTCAAAGAAGATTGGCTTAAGACACTATCTAATCTTGTAGATCTGAGCAATATAACTGCCACTAATCCGTCTTATTAGTCGTAGTGACAGAATTTACAACACATAGGGAAATCACATCAGATGATAAAATGGTAGGTAGTCATACAATACTGGGAATCATGACCTAACCAAGTTGACAGATGTTTTTGGGGCACACAATTCAATCCATGACACAATGGTTTCTTTTTTATTCTTATTTTTTGTTTATTGTTGTAGTTTAAGTGAAAATTTACATTTCAAGTTAGTCTCTTATACAAAAATTTGTACATACATTGTTATGTGACCCTAATTGCTCTCCCTATACTGTGACAGCACACTCCTTTCCACCCCTGATTTCCCATGTACATTCAACCAGCTCGTAACCCTCTCTGCCTTCTCGTCGCACCGCCAGACAGAAGCTGCCCATTTAGTCTCTTGTATCTACTTGAGCTAAGAAGAAGCACACTCATCACGAGTATCATTTTACGTCACACAGTCCAGTCCAATCTTTGTCTGAAGAGTTGGCCTCAGAAATTGTTTAAGTTCTGGGCTGACAGTCTGGGGGCCATGCTTTCCAGGGTTTCTCCAGTCTCAGTCAGACCATTAAGTCTAGGCTTTTTAGTAGACTTTGAGTTCTGCACCCTACCTTTCTCCTGCTCCATCAAGGACTCTGTTGTGTTCCCTATCAGGGCGGTCAGTGGTGGTAGCCGGGAACCATCTAGTTCTTCTCGTCTCAGGTTGATGAAGTCTCTGGTTTATGTGGCCCTTTTCTGTCTCTTGGGCTAATACTTTCCTTGTGTCTTTGTTGTTCTTCATTCTCTTTCACTCCAGGTGGTTGGGACCAATTGACGTATCTTAGATGGCTGCTTGCAAGCTTTTAAGACCCCAAATGCCACTCACCAAAGTAGGCCAATCCATGACACGGTGGTTTCTTATGCAGCATTGTTGTGGCAATATCTGGCTGATAACAAACAGTGATAGGCCTTTCCAAGTGTTTGCCTTCTTTTGTATCCCTTAGTGACACTTAAACATTTTCTTCAACTGAATTTTATAAATTCTTTAAGTTTATGCCTAGTCATTATTTTAATTTATAGTTGTGTGACTGTTGGTGACGTTGAACATTTTGTGCTTTTCAATAATTTGAGTGTTGAGCTCCTTATGCTGCTTTCTCATGTTCTTTGACCATTTTACTATTGGCATGTCTTTTTTTTTTTGTGCTTTAGGTGAAAGTTTACACAGCTCAAGTTAATTTCTTATACAAAAACTCATATGTGTGTTGTAATGTGACACTTGTTGCAGTTTCTGTAACGTGACAGCACACTCCGCCTTTCCACCTTGGCTTTCCCGTGTCCATTCAACCAGCTCCTATCCCTTTCTGCCTTTTCATCCTGCCTCTGGACAGGAGCTGCCCATTCAGTCTTGTGTTTCCACTTGAACTAAGAAGCATCCTCTTCACAAGTATTATTTTATGTTTTATAGTCCAGTCTAATCTTTGCCTGAAGAGTTGGCTTCGGGAATGGCTTTAGTTCTGGGTTAACAGAAAGTCTTGGGGCCATGTCTT